GAAATATTTGAAATTCGATTACAGGTGACTAAATAAATTAATATATAAACGTACGAGGATGCAACGAAAGGGTTAAGAAGACTTAGAAACTTATTAGTTAAGTTACATTATTAGAAACTAAGAATTTGATTTTGAATAGCATCAGTCTTTGAAGTATTTGAATGGACCGTGTTATATCGAGTAGAGTTCGAATGGAAAATAAACGAAATCTGATTAATCAGCTTTGTAGAAGTTCTGTCTGGCAGTCGATTCTCGAGTGCAGCGAATCGAGACGACGGAGTTTTTCGAAGTTATCGAATCGTTTTTATTGCGTCTGCTTCGACGGGGTGAAGCGTGCCAAAGACGCCGCGCCGCGACGGTAATCGACTTTCTAATTATAAATGAGAAACGGCGAAGCTGACGTCGAAGGAAGCCTGAACTCTCGACGAAGAGGTCACCCTTTTCCCTCTCCGATAAGCTGTTAATACTTAATTACCAATGAATATCGATATCGCATTGTAACTGGTCGAATAATAGCACTCGCTGTACCGCGAACAGTCCGATCGTGAAATGCTTCCGCAATTATTCCTCGTATTTTCCATTTGCATGAGCACGACATATTTTCGTGACCAACCCCTTTGCGCGATCCCTTGCGAAAGAGAAACACGATCGATCGCGTAATAGGGTTACCAGCTTTGTTATCGTGAACAACGATCACGATGTCCTATAGAATCATTATTATAGTGCAAACAAATTATTCAGGATTTTCCTCGAAACGATAATATTGATCAACTGTAGATTCAATTTCTTGAAAAAAATAACAGATCGATTAAATACTGTCAGAATTAAATAATATTAGTCTATCAGAATCAATGAAAATATTAAAAGACCCGAACGACGTCAATGAATGTACGATATTTAAAACATAAAATGCAGAAACTCTGAATAAGTTGAATTATTATAGAACCTCCGAGTAACATAAATTTTCAGTAGAAATCTCTACCGATCAAAGCGTGCAAACACGCGAAAGCCGTAACGTGCATGTTATTTTACACCCCGTTACAATCGAAAACGGAAACGTTTGCTAATAGCACAGCGGTGGCGTCACTCAGCTAGCTTCCAGTTACAGCTCCGTGTCCCTGTAACGTGACAAGGATACACGAAACCAAGATGATGCCCTAGAAGGCTCGAAGCTGGATATTAATATGTGCACGGAGTCGATATACACCTGGTGCCTCCCTCTCGGGACAAACACCCCTTTATGTAACTAAACCTCTCTGCGAGGCCGTGCATCTGATCGCGTGTGTACGATCATACGCATACCCGTTCCTCTCTGTTATTTCCCGCGTGTGAAACTAGAGAGTACACGAACACACGCGCAAAACACACGCACCGAGAAACTGGAGAATACTAATGGTGATTACGAGATACAACCGCGTATGGGGAAGTCCGTAAGGAAGAACGATGTTGCACCAGGGAAAAGGATCATATGCGTCACTGATGTCCTTCTCCCAGTCCGTTCCAGCGTGTTCTTTAAACAGTTTAAATGAGACTGGATTGTGCCGTGTGTATAAATAGGAAAAGACCGTAGATTTTTGGTAACATCGAGATATAAACACCTTGGGACGGCTAGAAACAACGCACACGATTCTTTATATACATTAAGAAACATACGCGGTCCCTACATGCTTCCTTGAGTTCGTTCATTCTTCCCACGAGTTTAGAAAATAGGTCAACCCTCTTCCCTCGTTTCAGCGAGATTTTTATACTACTCTCGTGAACTATGATTTCGGTTCACGAATCGCGTTGTCTCATTCTTCGTCTATAATACGAGCCCTCACGACTGAACGTAATTGCTACTAATCTTAATGCCTGGTCTGGTTTATTAAAGACCGGCAATCAGGATAAGTGAACGAACGAGATCATCGAGGGTAGAAACGTTGGTTCTTTGGCGGACGGCTTTCAATTAGATTGATAAGCTGTCCCGATAAGTTATTCTGGTTTCTGAATGTATCAAATTGGATATCCATAAAAAGGTTAAAAACAGTACGTTTTAAAGTAAATTATAAACTCGAAAAAGCAGGAAAAGTTGCGTAAACATTCATGAATTTCTATGTACACTTACACAAATGTAATTACACAGCTCTTTTTCGCGATTTTATTTTCGAGCGCACCGGTGCAGGGGATGTTTGATCGACGCGGCGCGGCAGCTTCCGGCGCTGTAATTACGCATCGAGAGAACCTCATAATGATGCGGGAAACTGGGAAAAACGCAGCTGGAAATTATAACGAACCTTCCGTTCGCGAATCTTTGCACGTTCGCCGCGAAACATTGATCACTTTAAATCACGCCAATCCACCGAAATCAGTGGAATTTTCTATTGCTTCGTTGATGACCGTTCGAAATCACGAAAATGCGCTGTCACGGCACGTCGATCGAAATCCGCAATGCGTTCCGGAACGGATCCGACACTCGACTGATTTTCCCTCGTAACGGTGAAATCTTTCATCTCTAAAGATACAACACGCGCTCTCCGCGAGGAAAATCGTGAAACTAAGAATAGTCCTGGACGTCTTGGCTATTGACACGACGTGATTGAGACGCTAAGATATCATTTCTGTACCTATCTATCCGTAAACAGACGATAGATACAATAAAGTGCGCAGATGTCGAAGCTGGCGCAGCTGTGCATCCGTAGAGAAACTCGTATTTGTCAGCGGATCGCGAAGACTACGCGAGAGATCTGTCTAATGGGATATCCGGGAAGATGAACTTCATCTACTTGATCGAGACCAACGCGTCTAACAATATGAACGTAATAAAGAGAGGGCGATATTGGCTTGACTCATCGACAGAAATGTGGATAAGAAGTTAGAAAATTGTAGAACTCATCTTGGAGAGATGCGTCATCGAGGGGGATTTTTGATATATCAGGTTGGATCGTTTTGATAAATTACTGAACGTGATTCTACGTATAACGGAAGGATTATCGACTAAAGATAATTTTAATTCATACTTTGAATTAGGTAAAGATTGACATTTAATCCCTGCTGTTTGACATAGAAAATCCCATCGAATAGAATAAATTTTAATCGTCAGACTTTGATTACATTAATCAAAAACTTCGTTTCAAATTTTTTCTAGACGTAGCGCATACCTATTCATTCTCTTTTATCATTTCTCCATATTTCATGGATTATTCTCCTATTATCTTCTGTTAATTATTTTCATGCTTTTAAGCCTTTGAGTACAACGTGTATATACGTCATTGAAAATCTAAAATAAATCTGTAAAGATCGGCCACACGCGATTAATGGGGAAGAAGCACGGCTAGCAGGGAATCACGAAAGAACGATAATGAGCACGTTATAGTAACGGGTCGGATAATGAGAACGCTGGCATAAATCTTCGGTTACGAGGTCATTTATTCGCGGGGATACGGGATTTAAAGTCTCTGCCATGGAAGAAGCCATGCCTCTGGTAATTTTCTCTTAGAGAGTTGATTCACCTACCGAAACAGGAACGAACGGGAAAACACGTAGAACGGAAAGGACGAAAAAAGTATACCTTTTTGCCATCGTGTAATTATAAACGATATCACTCTATCCTCTTTCCTCATGCTTCTTCACCGTTAGCCTGGTTATTACACAAACTTGCAAGGTAAATGATAATCGAGAGACACGAGGCAAAAGAGGACCAACGACAAACGAAATTCCTTTTAATCTCGCTGAGAAATCTTTTTTCCTTAATATCCGTTTTCCAGAGCGGGACGGTTTGATTAGCAGCCTTTGTACCCCTTTTTTCCTAATGATCGCGAATGCAAATAGGAAAGAAATCAACCGGATGAAATATAAAAGGTAATTCTTTGATATACCAAGCATTATAAGAAAACTGCAGCTATAGCTTGTCAAATGAAGATTTTTGCATTCTCGTTTATGTCTGAAAGACCATCGTATCTGGTGTCTGAATGCATGACGTTACCGACGGTCCCATTAAAATTCTATAGGAAATCGTTATCGGTGTGCGATGACAATGTTCTTTGTCGTGAAATGTAATTCCTTATTGGATCGCGCATCCTTAATCACGTGAACATGCATTTTTATCATGCTCCTCGAGTTAGCATTTCCTCGTATGTCTAGAGGTTCGTTACTTTTCGTCGAGATACATCGGTGAAAAAAAATCGAATATTCCAGGGAAAGCTAGCGACTGAAAGTTATCGATTGGATACAGTTTATGCGCTTTCCGATATCGAAACGCATCTAATAGCTCAAGTTTTCCCTTATTTCCGTTGCAAACATGACAACCTTGTTCCACAAAAGTTTTCTGAATATTTACAGATCGCCTGCTGTGGTGGCGAAATTGCGTAAACTTTTCAAACAAGTTAAATGATCGTGTAAATCATTCGGGAAACGATTGGAACGCTAATTGAAACCTTGTTACCACGTTTCCTGTCGCAGTAATTTATTTTTTAATCTTTCATTCGTGAGATGGTTGCTTTCTTTTCTGGGATAAATTTGGACGGGTAATTTTGGACTTGGAACGGTTTTGAGAAGGGAAAAATAACAAAGGGAGGTACAAGCTTTATAAGAAAGAAAATAGAATCAACTATTGTGCAGAAAATTATGAATCATTTAAAAATAATTAGACTAATGAAATAATCGTAGTAATTTTTAACTTTTCTATCTGATCTATAGTTTCGGAGGATTATTCTATTATCGTTGACATCAGAATTTCTGTCGTACTTTGCAAATAATTATGATTTTTTTCTTATTTCAAAGTAACTTCGTTCGTCGACTTCGCGGAAATCAAAACATGAGTAGTACGAATTTCGCGGGAGTATGAAGTGGACGGAAAACTTTGAAATTTATCGACTTAATCGTTTCGAGTTAAGGAAAGAGTGAGGGGTGAAACGCGTTGCTACGAAACTTCGTCGAACAAATTAGATTCGTTGCTTTCCAACAACGTCGTTAACGCAGCCACGAATATAATTGCGAATCGCAAAGGAATAAGAAGTGCTTACCCTTAATTTAGACAGCAACGAGAAATCCGTGACCGCTCTGAGCGTCACTTTGCCAAAGGAATGTCCTGTAACAGAGAGAGAGAACAAGATTAATCGTGATTAAGTTTTAGCTTCGAAAATGAACAATTTTAATAAGAATTCATTATACAAAAATAAGAATTTTTAGCCTAGAATCGGCTAAATAATTCAATGAAGGTCGGGAGGAAAGAGCGCGTTTCCACGAATTCTATTTCGTTGGCCAAACTAAGGGGTAAAATGTGTCCGGACAAAGAGAAGCTTTTTCCGTGGACCGGTTATGAGACCGAAGGGACCGAGAAACCGGCAGTATGCAGTTTCCTATGTCGCACAGTTCGACAAACAACGAAACAAAAAACTTTCCTATTAAGGGGAACAAAGGGGCCCGCAGGAATCTATTCGCGAGTTATACGATGGTTTAAGCCGCTTTTCGGCGCGGCCAGTTCCAATTTAACGTCGACGGGTCGAATGTTTGCGGGAAAAATGCGATAACATTCGTTTGGAAAACGTCAAAACTATCCTATAGAATCGTCACTCTTCGCGTATCATCCGATTGTCATGGTGTGTCGTTAGTTTCTGTCTGAAATTTCCAAGCTTCTTGACTCCTCCATTCAAAAATCAAATAGATGTTTGAAGATTATAATATAGAGCCTATTCCACCAGCAATCAAATTCACAATAAAGTAATCAGAGATATTGGCCAAAGTCGTATAGTACTTTGAGTTTCACGACTATATTAATTCAATACGCGATCATGAATACGGTTTAAGAGTTATTGATCAAATCTGATTGAACGTGAGCTTGCAAAGAGTAGAGGTATAAACTGCCTCCTCCTCTTTTCTTCCCTTACGCAAATGATGGCGTGAAATAACTGAATTCACAATTTTAGTTACTTAAGACAGACAATGTCAAAGTAGTCTAAAATGTGAAGAAAATAACAAAAGTTCCAATTGAAATACAAAGTAGATTTCGATAAATACGTGAGTAGCGTATTATCGGATGTTGGGAAATGGAAACATAATTTTGTTAATTTTATTTCGCTCGATGATATTAAAATGGATAATTTTCAAGGAATGGTTATAAAACAATCTGAATCACCATAGGGGACAGATTTTATAAGGGTAATATAATCAAGCTGCAGACACGCATACCTACCGAAGCGTTTAATTATACCGCAGAGTACCTACCTGGATGAAATTATTTCTACCTGATTGCAGTCTTTCCCTTATCTAATTTGTGATTTTAAATGGAGAAAGAAAAGTAATTTTCTGAAATACTATTCGCCTTGTGGATATCTAAATTGGTAACGTAAGTATAGTAAATGCATACCCGATGAAACGGATAAGCTTTATCGCTTTGTAATTTCATAGCAATTAGAAATTGGAAGGAGTAATTGGAATACGCTCAAGTTTTATTATTTAGATTCAAATACATAATGCATAAATGAACCTATAAATGTTGAATTCAGCTGGTAAAACCAAATCGACCATACGTAAGGGTAATAATTTTTACCTAAAACTGACCATCACCCAGGTCCTCTACGACCTTCAGGTCTATAAAACATGAACAGTCATTTTACCAATACTTTAACAGAAGGTAGCACGTCTGTAATCCAGATGTCTAGTATCATAAACATTCCCTGCAGATGCGTTGGAATTTATTTCATCCGAGCAATTCGTAACAAAGGGACGCTTCCAACAATTTCCAGTTCCCGTTCAAGTTCTCTTTCAGCCATTGATTCCCTGAAATAGACCCCTTGTCTTAACTCCGGCCCTCCCTGTGTCCAAGGTAGGCTCGGTTAAATAGACCTTTTTCTTTCATTCCTCCCCATCTTTTCCCTCGAACTGTCCTCGTTCCAGCTACTAAATTACGTTACGCGTGAAAGCAATAGGACAGCTTTTCAATCTACATCTCGTTGAGCCACGACGAAAAGGCAACGGAAAGAGGGTTCGAAATTTTCGTGGTCCAGAAAACGGACTGAGTTAAAGTCTACATGTTTTATAGGCAATTTCTCGAGTGATAAAAGTTTCGCCGTTTCACGTAAATACAATTTGTTAGTTCTATCTCAGCTGTAATTTAATTTCTGGTAACTGGTCATCATCTTAGATGAATCTCACACGCACCTCGAGCAATTCAATTGCCGTTGACCAGTGAAAAACTCGAGTTCTCTTGACCGAGACGAGCTTCTTTCTGTACCTCGTTATTCTCTTAGAAACGTGGAAGAAATGTTTCTCGACCGTGAAAACGACTGGGATGTCGCTAAGCTGGTCGGTTAAAGAGACAGAGAAGAGACTGTAGGAGATTTAAGCAGAAGTTTTAATTCAATATCGAGAGATTGTAAGATCTGAGTTCAGATTTTGATAGTATTAATGTCCTGGAAAAATTCCTCTCTCTTCATTACAGCGTCTATGAATTTCATAGGAACTCGATAATTAATTACTCCGAGTTAATAAGGAAGAGCTCGTAATGGCTGTCATTGTACCAGCCGTTCGTCTAGGGTTCGTTTATTAGTTTCATCGACGGATCAAACCATTTAATGCCATGACGCGAAAATATTTCTGTTTAGTAGTTTAATTAATTGCTCTTAATTCCACTTGCTCCTTATCGTTCCTATTATTCCGAAGGAACAATATGATAATATAGTTTAGATGATTTTGTATATCGTTCCAATTAAACTGGATTTCGACTGAATTCGCTCATTGTGTTGCTCGAAATCCTCGAAACCGCAAAATGAAACGCTGTTCCCATGTATCAGCTTAAATCTTTCTAATATTTAACTACAACATCGACGGAAGGAAACTCTTAAAGCATTAATTCGTATAAATACAGAAGAAGCATTCATAATCGACTCAAATTCTTTCAGCCAGAGGAACTTCTGTAAAACCGGAGGTCCACAAAAAGATCCGCGAAGCGAATTTCCATTGTTGTCGTTCGCATAATTTTAAACGTAACCTCGAGAACGAGGCTCCATTGAAAAACTACTCTGCCATGTTTTCGGCGTATACACCGGCACGAGAAATAATCCTACGAGGATGATGCTTCTTGGTTGCATCGTCTGTTAGGTGGCACCGTTTGTGCGAGAAGCGAACGCCCGTTTTCTTGCAAGGCTGTTTCTTCGCGGTATGAAAAGAGCCACCGGGCGGAATCTCTCTTTCTTCTCTCGATTTGAAACGCAAAAGGTCCGCGTAGGCGTACCAAGCACACGGTGTCTTTTGCCCTTCGCAACGGCCTCGTAATACGAATTAAATTATTTCTCAGGCGGACAGGGTGAACGAGGTCAGGAGGTGTACTAACAGGGAACAAAAAGGTACCGCAGAAGAAAGCGAGGGAAATGCGGCAGAAGAGAAGAGAGAAAACTTCCGCGGGCGGTTTTCAGGCGTCGCAAGAACCGAGAAAAGAAGAAACGAAAGAAAGATAAAGCGCGACGTTAAATCGGATACTTTATACGTATAATAAGCCGCGAGGAATGCGTACTTATGCACGGCTGGAGTTTCACGGGATCCATAATAATCAGGAAGCGAGAGGAATAAGAACTTCTTGTTTCATTTCTTTTTTCAATTATCCGCTGGATAAAACTGAGAGTCTTATGCTAAAGCGTTAACATACAATTCGTACGTATACTTGCTTAAATCATGAGCTTTTTTAAAGCGTTAATTTGTCCGTTACGATATGTTTCAACTAAAAGTCTTTCACAAAAAGAATTCAATTTCTAATCGTCAAAAGCCCGTCCCATCGAAGTCCTATGTTATTCTGTTTCCTCGCGAAGATGGTCGGCGAGGGTTAAATAAATCAAAGCGACGGGAAATTGCAAACCTTCCTTCATCAAATGCGAACCCCTCTTCGAGGCGAGCTTTCATCCCTTTTATCCTCTTTTCCCTCGTTACTCAGCCTCTGCTTCGCTTGCATCGACGATAATTTCACGACACGATATTGTCGTAGCACTGATGCGATAATTGATGAAATTTCCCGCGACCCATTTTCTCTCTCCGTCCGACGAACCCCCGGCTTTTGAACCGTGCCGCGCAAACACGGCTAGCTCTTGTCGTATATCTTGTACACCTTTTCGAACATAGGCTTGTACAGATGTATACGAGTGTTGTCGGCTCGTATAGGTGTCCATAACTGCAACGTCGTTCATCTTGCGCGGTTATTTGACCATCCTTGGCAACGATTTACCGTTCGTTGAATTATACGCATTATCAAGGAGCTAGGGACTGATGAACGAGCGAGATATAAATAACTGACATGCTATCGATCTCTATATCGCGAGTACCAACGGTTTTTCCATTGTGTACGCCACCGACCAACGATGTATAGACGCCACAGTCTTCCTGTTTCACCGTTGGCAAATATTTGTCGAAGTCGAAACACAACGCGCTCTAATGGCGCGAGTTGTCTGCCCATCCTACACAGCGAACAATATATACCAGCCGTAACAATTTCGGTCCGGTTCCATTTAGCCTTTGTTTTCCGTTCTTTTCATTATTAAATCAGCCTACGAGTTTTTTTCGCGTTTCAATACCGTTAGTCAAATGAAACGACAATCAACAGTTCATCTGTATTCAATAACTTTCAGATCGCGAAAACATTTAGCTGGCGAGCTTAGAAGGATGTTGCTTTTTGATTTTATTAGAACGAAGTGTGAAGAAATTAGAACGGTTGAATTTTTGGAAAAAATTTCATCCTACGAGAATGCTCGTGTCTGATTCGCGAATGTTAGAGTTGTCGAGTCGGAGTGCATTCAGCGAGATGCATTATCGATGGTATGTGCAACAAGATTTCCAAGGGTTTTCCAAGTCCCACGGTGAGACTGGAATTCAATTCGAAGCGACGCCAGCGAGGAGGAAGTGGTAAGTTTCCATCTCGTTTGGCCGGCGTAGCTTTTTATTCAACCGGATGGAGCGGCAGTCAAGGGCTCTTCACGCTTTTCGAGCGTAGTTCTTCTGTTCAAATTTTCCCGCCATATCGTCTTATCCTCCGAACGATTCTAAAGGGTGGCTCTATCGCTCTGAGCCACCTTAACACCTCGCTTGTTCCGTTGAATTGATTTC